GTGGGTGCCTCGCTGGCTGCTCGGTGCCTTGCCGGTGTGGGGGCTCCTGAAGCACCTGGTGACCTTTTTTTCCCCCGTGCCTGTTCGTTCCTTTGTCCCCCTAGACGACAGGAACAGCTTCAGGTGCTTTAACCTGGGTCTCGATGAGTGCTAAAGACTCTTCTCTGTCCCACCTGAGCTAAGGCTGCTGCAAAAAGCTCAAGGTACCCTCGCTGCTGAGAGCTGTGTGAAGCTGGCTCCCATCTGTTTGAGACTGCCATGAGCGGCAGGGGCAGCGGAGGTGTTTATGGGTGTGTTAAACGAATGGGGCTGTTCGCATTTCTTAAGGCTGTTGTCAGGTGCCACTTACACTCAAAGCAGCAAATTCCCCTTCCAACCAGACAAGTTTTAAATGAGACTGAACTGTATTGGTTTGGCCTTGGCTAATGCAAGTCATCTGTTCTTGTGTTTCCATACAAGTGTTAGCCTGTTTCTAGGCTTCTGTAGAGATGCAGATAGTAGTTTATTGGAGCAGACTTTTTGCTACTTGGCCCATTAGTGCTGTTCACCACCTAAAATCCCAAGAGAGCTCTAGTGTGGTGGTATTTCCAGTGTAGACAGTTCCTTGAGATTCCCTTTTTTGTGCTTCCCTTGTGCAGCTGTGGTGGTTCAAATGTCTTCCTTTCAAACCAAAGCCTTTATGCTGGTGGTTGCTTGAGAGCCTCACAGCTGGGGGCTCAGAAACAAGAAATCTCTAGCCTAGCTGAGCGTACAGTAGCACAGATACTCTTGCTCCTGTTACTCCCTCCAGAGTAGCAAAACTGTTCCTGCAAGGGTTTTGGGATGGGCTGCAGAGACTATCTGCCCTTTGCCTAGTACAGGGGGCTGAAGTTTCTTGGATTCCTTCTGGCTGGGGAGTTTTCTGGGCTGGCTTGGGGAACTTGCACTACTGGATGCCACCAGCCCATCAGTTTAGGTGAGGAAATGTGATCTGCAAGTGCTTGCTTATCTGCTACAATGCAAAAGTGGCCAGGTTAGCTAAAATCACCTTTATCAGTGGTGAAAAGCTCACTTGGTTGCCTTGGTGCTCGGGCAGTCTAGGGAGCACTTGCCTATCGTGTTCAGCTGGCTCTGCTAGGGGTGTGCAGAGAAAATGCTTGCTTCAGAGGGTTGTCTATATTAGAGCTACTAGGTTTGATTGGGTGATGAACCAAGCTCCTAGCTTAGCAGTATCTGACTTAACTGTCTTCTAGCGCTTTTGGCATACCTGGGCCCCTCTCCAAACACTCGAGAGAAATTGCTGGGGTAGCATGAATTGAAGGTTTTGCTTTAGGATTGTCTTAGAGATCCTGCTGCTCAGGCTCTGGGCAATAGGAGCTGGTAATGGCATTGAGCGTGTAGGGTTACTGCTGAAGAAAGGTATGTGCATCCAGCTCTTCCTTTCTGCTCTTCTT